AGAGACAGAGAGAGAGGGAGAGACAGAGAAAGAGGGAGAGACAGAGAAAGAAGCCTTTGTGGTGAGTCACCTTGAGAAGGGAGGATACTGGAGGAGTGGAGGAGTGGAGGAAGAGATGCTGCTCGTGTGCAGTGACGACGCAGAGGAAGGAACGACGGTGGATGAGAGAAATGGAGAGATGAACACTGAGATACAGGCGGAGAAAAAGAGGATACGCAAGGGTGAATGCATCTGCTCATATCCCATAATGCACTTGGGGCAGAAGCTTCAGGAGGAGAGCCAATCACTGTGGAGGACGGATGGTGTGTGTGTGTGTGTGTGTGTGTGTGTGTGTGTGTGTGTGTTCACTGCTGGTGTTTAACCCATACATAATGCAGTTAATGCCTCATATAGTAGTTTAACTTTAGATTAGTTAAGACTCATGGTACAGTGTAGTGAAAAGGAGACAAATACATATTACTTTTTGCATTCAAACTGGTAATGTTAGAGCTTTAGGTGACACGTAATTGTGAAAACAGATATTACTGAATATATATTGTTGTATTATCTCTGGAGTTGGACAGTTGAACCAGTTGTTGTTCTCGGCTGTGGTAATAATGTAATGATAGCTGTTTCCTTACAGGCTGGTTGTAAAAGCTGAAGTGAACATACAGATACAGTTATTCCTAACGCAGATAGAAACAGCCAGATTCATTGTGACGTCCAGATGAACTCCAGGGAAGTCTGTATTGATCGGACAGTTAATGATTTATTGCTAAACTGTAAACCTTCTCCTAGACCCCGCTGACTTTACGAATCGATAAGAGACCAGACGACTCAAGTCCATGCACATCATTTTAATTAAAAATCAAAAAAGCGGAATCACTGGGGGCCTTAAGTAAATGGTGCCCTCATTAACCTGTGTTAATGAACGAGGAGCTTTGGAAAGTTGTAAGGCAGTTTTCAGGCACAAAGGTGTAATTATTGGCTGTCACAATATGGACTTACTGTTGATCGAGCTGTGTAGTTAAAATGTTTGATAGCACTGCCAATACCTTGACAATATACCATTATAGCATCTAGTCTGCCTTATCGTTTACGTTCAGTCTTCCGGGGACAAAGTATCGTCACACAAAAGTAGTTATCGTGACAGACCTACACATGAGAATGCTTTAAGATAACATTAAAATGAATGCATGCAGGCACAAAGCAGGCGCTTGCATAGTGATCTAGTTGCTATGTGATTCTACTGATGGGGCTTTAGAGACTGGAATAAAGGCATACTAATGTTGTGGTTTCTTCCTGGCACGTATTGTAGTTTGAATTTACTGCAATGCACAGTTCATTACACGTTAGTAACTGTAGTGAGTTACACCGTATATTGGTGCATAATTGTTCCAGTCCGTCAATATTTGATCAGCACTGACTCTCAGCCTCCTGCTGTCTCTTTCTAGTTTCCATCTGTGTGTGAATTGATTCTGTTTACTATGTAGTGCACTGTGAGGTCACTTTGACATCACTTCCTGTTTGCAGGGCGCCGGAGGTGCACTGAAGGGTAACTAGTAGTTTTCCGTGCCTCAAGCGACGCCACCATCCAGAAGAGACAGGGAGGATGAGAGAGTGAGAATACACTGCAACAGTTGCTCTGTGAGCGTCACGGCAGTGTTACATAACACACCTTCACATTAACTACATCATTATGAAATTCCAGTGCCCCCTCCTTTCCCTCCCCCACAGTTGGCTTCAATTATTTAGATGGACCCAGTGGATTGGAGGTTGCTAGGAAACCTCACATCCCCTATCTGTCAACCCACTGGAAGTAGACGCCGTCGATCTGTCAGCAACTGCCATTTTCTGTCGCACTCTCAGACACTGCACTGCAGGAAGTGACACACTGTTAAATGGTGGGAAACTGCACAAAATCTGTTTTCTGTTTTCTGACAGCCATCTGCCTCTACTGTTCAAATATTTTACAGACTCAAACTGATCAAACTGATGTAGTGTTTCACTGTGGCTTCTAACAGCATTTGTCCCTGAATACACGTTTGCTAAGTTAAAACACAGCTTCCCCCTCACACACTCTGTATCACGGATGTGGCTCAGACTGTCCTCTTGGTTAAACCTCGGTGCAGATGAGCAGATCGGGGTAAAAGAGAGCAGAGAAGCAGATGGGCAGCCCGGAGGGAGGAGAATGTAAACAAAGTGGGAGGGTGAAGGGAGGGATAGATGATGGAGGACCCCTCTAACTGTGTGTGTGTGTGTGTGTGTGTGTGCTAGTCCGGCCATCAGTATTTTCTAGGTCGGTCAGTCCACTGATCTGTGTGATAATCTATTTCTTTCTGTGTGTGGTTGTGACTGAACTCCCCTGGAGGCAACAGACAGCAGCAAGACCTTTCATTCAGAGAATCTGAGCCCAAAAAATGAGACATTTTGGTCACTGGAACATCATCAGATTTAGTTGAAAAGTAGGCTAAATACCAGATGATTCAGTGGCAGCTGGTGGATATTTCACCGGGGTCTTATGGTATAGAGTCGCTGTTAGAGTGTACATTTGCTCGGTTGTGAATAATCATACAGGCAGACACGAGCACGCCGAACAGGCAACGATACAGCAATCTGCAGTTTTTGTGTAAAATGACAGATGACGTAATCAACTTAATTAAAAATATGGAAATTAATTAAAAAAACGA